TGTTTGACCCAGACAGGGTCAATTCTACTACGTTTCAGTTGTCCTTTGGTGTTATTACAGTCAAGAGAATTATGGCACCTGTCTTAAGAGTTTGGTGATAGGTGGCAGAAATGTAAGTTATGAGTGAAAGAAGATAGAAAAGGAAACAAAGCCCTCGGAAACAACAAACTCCATGCTTTTCTTTGACAAATAAATAAATAAATAAACTACCTGAAAATATAAAAAACAGGGTCTGACAATTTTCTGTTGGATATGTGTGTTCATAACATGCTATTGATCACCTGCTTAAAAATATTTGCTCTTTAACCTGTATCAATTAAAATCCTGTGGATCCTCTGACAAATTTCCTTTTGTCACCCCAAGAAGATTTGCTAGACAGCATGGACTGTAAGAACAGTGGGTTTTCAGTTTTCATTTTAAATACTGCACTAAGAGCAAAGTAATAGGAAGATCTTGCTTTTGAGTGTTATGACTATCCTGAGCTGCCCAGAACTCTGCTGATATGATTGTATAAATTTTTAATTATATTTCTGTATTCACACTCCAATTTTATAAAATTTCAATAAATTATTTCTAATAAGAGCAGAAAACATTAAAAAATATTATTATCATGACAAAAACACCTACAATAAAAAACAGAGTAGACACATGAGGAGAGAGAACAGGAATAGGGGGCTTGCAATTTGAAGACAAGATAAAAGATGACCACATGTTTTTAGAACTTATATGCACAAAGTATTACATAATTTAGATACTCCCAGTGTACTACCTACTGGTCAAGTACCTAAAAGTCTTAATTTGTATGATTTTATTTATTTGCTTAGGAGTGTTAATAAAGCAGCTCTAGTAGTAGTGTAATCCAAAAAGATGTAATTCTAAAATGCATACAACTATTATTATTTACTGTATTACTCAGATCTAAAAGAGGTCCCTTTGTGTTTTCTACTGCACTAGCTTAGTGGTAAAGCCTCTATTTCGCAAATATTGGCAACTTGAATGTCCACAGGTAAAAATGTAGGCTGCAACATTTAATTATAACTTTCATAGTCTGGCTTATCTAGAGGCAGTAGAAGAAAAAGTCTTGTGCATTTTAAAACAATGTTTGTTTTCTGTCCTCTGCATTCTTCAGTGATGATACATACAAACTCCCACAGCAGTCCCAGCCTATCCCAGATGGGATATAAGTGGTCTACAAGAAAGTTAAGAGCTTTATGGAGTTCATAAAAGGTGGGAGTCAAATTTAAAATGAGATTCACTGGAAGCAAATTATTTCAAAGGAATTCTTCCTTTTTAAAATTCACAATGCCTGATGTCCTTCAGTTGGTGGGATTTTTTGTGTTTTGCCTTAGTCTATGCACAAAGGCGTTATCTTTTATTAAAGATCTGTTAGAGCTTTCTCTTTATTAAAGATCTGTTAGCCTCTCATTTTACATCTCTAATGTTAATCTCCATTAGACCTTCCACAAGTTTTTAACACTGAGAATTCCTTGTTCTTAATCTCATGTCACTGATGAAACCAACTCAAGCTTTGATTCCAATTTAGATTGGACAGCCACTACAACTTCTGTAGCAAGACTTTTGAAGCAAGACTTGTGAAGTGGCCTCCTTTATTTATTTATGGATGAGTCTCTGATCACCTAATTGAATTTTCTCAAGACCATGATAGCTAGAAGAAACAACAGTAAAGATTA